AAACTGAGAATGCCAAATTTTAAACATCACAAGAAATCCAAAAAGGTAATCTAAACGAGTTTCGCCCATAATTGGTCTTTCTTGATATTTCTTGCGTTAATATGTCAATTTAAGATATCCTATTTTTAAAACAGACTGAAAAAATCGACTGTTCCATAGATGATATTCAAACAACCAACGATGTTACCCAGTTGCATTTAGAAGATAACAAGTCACAAGTTAAAATTTTTAAGTGTTCTCTAAGAGAACTGAGAATGCCAAATTTTAAACACCACAAAAAATCCAACAAGGTAATCTAAACGAGTTTCGCCAATAATTGGTCGTTCTTGATATTTCTTGCGTTAATATGTCAATTTAAGATATCTATTTTTAAATCAGCCAGAAAAAATTGACAGTTCCCCAGATGTTATCCAAACATCCAACGATGATACCCAACCGCATTTAGAAGATAACAAGTCGCAAGATTTTCTTAATGAAATTGTTAAAGAAATGTTTAATATGTATAATGAAGAAAGATCAAATGGCAAAACCTTTCCTGTAATTATTGACACTTTAGAACAATTTCTAGTAAAAAAGAGGCAAGATCCAGTTCAAATTATCAATTACAGCATAGACAATCAATTTGACTATATGGTTCATTTCATTGCAAATTGTTATTTTTTTGGTAAATGGGTTGAAAAGGACTATGAGAAGGCATTTATTTATTATCAAAAGTCTGCAGATATGGGAAACGCTTATGGAATATTTAGTCTTGGACATTGTTATGAAACAGGAACTGGAGTTGATAAAGATGAATCTAAAGCAGTTATTTGTTACCTAAAATCTGCTGATATGGGCGTCTCTTATGGCGCATTTAATGTTGGACTCTGTTATGAAAAAGGAATTGGAGTTGAAAAAGATGAACATAAGGCATTCATTTATTATAAAAAATCTGCAGAGATGGGTAGCGAGTTTGGAATGTCAAAAGTTGCAGAATGTTATCGAAATGGATTTGGAACAGAAAGAGATTTAAAAAAAGCAAAAAGTTTTTATCGAAGGTAAATTTTAATTATTTGTGCGTGTATATTGCGATAACTCTATTCCGTAGGTCAGATTCAAAATGGAATCAACTTAGGGTAGAGCAATAGCTTTTTAACCTAGAGTTTTGCAAAATTTTGAACAAAGAAACTGCTAGTACTAGTGTATTATTGGGTTTGCAAAATGAATTGTCTTTAATCAATTTGCAATCACATGATTGTCTTCCAATTGCAAAATTGCAAACGATTATTTCAATTTCGAAGATTCCCAAAAGTCTTAAGTCATGGCGAAAACGAGGCGTCTGGTCATGCGATTTCTGACACTATCTTCCAATCAAAATTCAAGGTCTGGCGCAACTTTAAAATTACGAAAAATGTTTTTTCAAAAAACGCAAGTGACTCAAAAATTTATATATGAATCTCTTTCGCTGACAAAAAATAAAATGATATAAAAAGGGCAGCCTAAACTTATTTGGACTATAATGCAATTTTACTTATAATGCCAACCCTAACCTAAAATAGACGCTAACAAATGAGTATCACTAACACTAAAGGAAAAGGCGCAATTCTAAAAATAGATTATTATGAAATTCACATAATTCTTAAGTTTTAGATCGGATGCCTGGAAGTTATATGACCCGTCGTTTTATTTTCGCATGACTAGGGCTCCGGGCTTTATTCAAAATTTGCCATAATTTTTTGGACCCTGTCTCTACGCTAGGGTTGGAGGCATGGTAGCCCAGGGCATGCCTCAGGGGCATGCCCCCCTGGGCATGCCTAGGGGCATGCCCTTTTTTCAAAAAATTTATA